AATCAATTAAAGAAAAAAAGTCATTCATAATTCTCGTGCTAATAATTTACAAAACCTCCACCCTTTCCCACCCAACCAATTTCCACCGGATGTCCATTGTACTTATGTAATCTTTAAGGAAAAACCAGGGATCACGCTTAGACCGGAAGTCTATTGACCAAAATTACGCAACATTTAAGGAAATTATAACAAAGGCGCGCGCATCCGCAATTTAAAGTCAAATTCCTTTGTCAAGGCACAAAGGGGGTGAACGTGTCCAGACGCGCATCCGCACAATACCCCCCTGGGGGGCACACCTGCACCTGCACGTCCATTTTCCTGGAAAAAAGGGGGGAGGGGACGTGGGAAATTCCACAATACTGGCCACTTACTACTACGACAAGACCAACTTGAAGAGAATGATAAGGCAATAGATTTTCAAATAATTTTCTTCGCCAAATCACAATCTCATCTTTAATTAATGATATTCAGAACTTTTATGTTATCATTTCTATTTCCTTCATTATAGACTTTTATCATAAATATGCCATCTTAATTTACATCGTAGATTCTTACGATTGTAAATGGTTATTTTCAAATTTATCACATTCTAACTTTGGAACTACAAGACATTGAAAGAAATTTGTTTGCATCTCCATAAATAATTGAAAAATAATAGACTATCTGTTTTTTTAGTAAATATTTCATGATAAATATTATTGAGATTATTCTAGTTTCCCTCCTACCTATTACGAAGTCCTGTCCAATGATTTCCTGTGATATCAGAAGATGTAAAATGCTATATAAATGTCCCGCCTGTGGAAAAATTATTGCCGTTTCACTACTCTTAGGTACTGAACTGTTTAATCATATTTTATGAACAGATAGACATTTTCAAAAATTACTTTTTACAGGTGGAACTGGGAGAAAGAGGCAGTGGAGTAACACTACCTAGAAGACAATGGGATGCTGCTAAAGAACAGAGATCATTTACTGCAATGGCAATTAGTCTCGTAATGTCTTTGTTTCCCCATGATGTACTTTTACAGAGCAACGTAAAAGGAGGTGTTAATAAGATAAGGAGACCGGCAGAAAATCCTCCTCGTCACCGAGCATTGGATGCTCGTATCCTTGAAGCTATTACAGGTATTTTACTAGGATTGGACCTGTCTCATATCTCCCTGTAAAGAATGTTTGTCGGATATAAACGCGCTCTACTCCTCTTCTTCTATATTGATAAAAAATGTATTGATTGTAACCACTCGAAAAAACAAATTCAGTCAACTGGAATTATCGAAACTCTCTTCGAAAATTTTCCACTTTTCTGCCTTCAATTTCGACTTTCACGAATCATTGTTTGATATGGATTAATATCTTCCTTAGTGAATTTGATATCATTTACGAGCCGAATTTCTTTTCATTCGACTTATGGCATGGAAACTGAAAATTTTGTTTATTCATTTTTAATTCTTGATATGAAAAATTATGTCCTATGTGGACTACTTGCATAATCTGCTAAATAGATTGAATTTCTTTCTCTGGCCATTTTCCGGGTTCCGCGAAATTGTTAGACTTTTTCATATGTGTAACACTTGTACAATGAAATCTGATCATTCATGTAGAATGTTACATTCTTTCAGTGTGCGTGAGGAAACAATTTCCCCAGTCATTCAAAACCACTGAAATGAATCGAGCTATCAACATCAAGTTGAACACATTGAGACGACAAACACGACAAGCTCTTCGTGGTGTTAACGAAGGATAAACAAAAGGAGTGAAACGAACATCGATTGTATTGAGTCCCCGAAAGGAATTGATCAACGTTTACACAAATAATTTTTGGTGCTCACATGTATTATGTATTGATTTCGAAATAAGACAGATGACCCTATGAACATTTTTAGATAACATAAATGACCTATGTAAAAAGTACTATAGTGCTGATCCGTACTTTCATTATTCATATTATTTTACATTCATCTGGGTTGTAACGAGATTTTCTCGTTACTAGTGATTATCACTAGGATAGTCACTAGGTAAGGGGAGCGACATCTAACGCCGGCTGAAATAGCCGAGCGAAAGATGAATAGACCATCGGACGACGGCCAATCAGGCCGCTCCGAAGGTAAATTAGACCAATCACACAGGGGGAAGAAACGTGGTAGGGTGAGACCATGTTTCGGAACACTGTGATGGCGCTGACGATTGCTGTTTCCCAATTCGGAAATCCACCCAGCTGTGTTAGGGAGTTCAGGGCTGACGTACTGGCGTTCCAACTGGGTGATTCCGAAGGGCGCCGTCGACTTAGAC